TTTGCAACCTTCTGACAAGTAAAGCCAATGGGGAAGGCAGATTCACTTCACAACTACCATGTTTCCCCGAAAATAAGACCCTGTCTTATATTTTTTTTTGAACCCTGAAATAAGCATTTGGCCTTATTGCCATGCACTCAAAAGCCCAATTGGGCTTATTATCAGAGAATGTCTTATTTTTGGGGAAACAGGATATGTAACTAACTTAACAATTACAGTGATTCACTTAACATGGTATAGATTCTTCCGCTTGAGCAGGGGTCTAGACTAGAAGACCTCCAAGGTCCCTTCCACTCTATTCCTCTTCCTCTTCTTCTCCCTATCCTATCTGTGGAAAGACAGGTAATAAAATGGGACAAAACTCATTTAACAACTGTTTCACTTAGCTACAGAAATTTTTGGCTCAATTGTGATCGTAAGTCGAGGACTACCTGTATTAAAGCCTAGGTAAACCTCCATTTAGACATGAGGTCTCTGAGATTAGTAACTTCCTTAAAGGAAGGCGAGACATGAATGCAATGAACAAGCAAGCCTGCCTAGGCCTTGCACAAAATGGTGGCCTCAGTGAAGATTGTCTTTGGTACTCCTCTCCATTCGTGTTCGGTTTTTGAGCGTTGCGTTTCCAAATTATTTTCTAATGGAAAATTTACATGCATGACTGCTCCCTACCGTCTCCAAGATAATACATTTCTGTGTAAGGAAATGATCACCAACATTTACACAAAAAAGATGCTGATGCTGAATTTTTCCCTGAATATTAAAAAAGGAAAGAAATACTGAAAGCAATTCTGGTCATGAAAATCACAGTTGAACAGAAGGGCAGTTATTCAGACGAAGCAAGGAGAGCAGTAATTATTCCCTCATATTTATTCTCAGCGACTATCCATTCACATCCACACTGGTCTCAGGACACTCAACATATTCAGGACCATCTAGGAATTTGACTTATTCCCCCCTTAAAGCTATCCAGATCAGGAACAGTAAACACATTTCGTAACAGATAGATAGCTTTATTGATTAGCCTATAGGCCATATCAAAGCACAAGGTTCAAACACATATCACCAATAAAATCCTATACAAACAATTTGAAATAAGAGTAGGGTAAAATACAATAGTTATGGGATAAGATACAATATAATTTAATACATCAATATGTAAAATAGAATAAAATGACATATTTCGGTGTCACCCTTACAATCTACCCCAATCAGTCCCACGTATGCAGATCTCAACCGAACCATTTTGTTTAAGTACTGTGCTGTGTTAAATGTTATTTTCAGGTTCTGGCCGCACATAAAGTAAGTTGTTTTGATATGGGGATCCCAATGGGTCATTCCTTTGGTATATAGACCAAGGTACTTCTCTCTCATCCCCTTATACAAGCAACAATCAAATAACATTTTGTAACACAGAATTTCACTGGCTGACTATGTACTCCTTAAAGACCCTCATTTAACCTGGTTTGAATCTCCAAACACAAATCTGTTGAATGCCCTGGATTCTAATTTCATGAGTAAAGAAGAGCCAAAAACTTCCATCCACTTTTTAATGCAAGATGTTTGGAGGCATCAGGTAAAGAACAGTTGTTATCACCAACACTTCCCCCTTTCCCCCCCAAACTTTAATAAACTTTGTTTTCTTCTCGTATGTAAAAATAACTATAGTTCCTGGATCCTTTATGTTGCCTTTTTTAAAACATTTCCATTAATACAGATTTCCAAGGAAAGATGTATGGATCTCACTACTGTTCAGTAGATAATTGAGTATGTGATGAGAATATAGGCAATACTTCAAAAATGAGGGTGGTCCACCAGAGTTCCCAAACAATTCCCTGGTCCCAACAGAGGAATATTTGTAGCTCAGGGTTGAACTGTTGAGTCCTTGGTGCTCTCTGAGCTTGGTTGTTTTCTTGCGTTGGGTAATGGAACGCCTGCAAAAAAAACCAACCAAGCTCAAAGAGCACCAAAGACCCATAATTGCTTGGTCTAAACTTATTTTAATTTTTAATACCTCCACCTCAGCTGGAAGAGTATTTCTGGAGGTAATAAAAATCCACAATACAGATTGTGCACTTTGAGGACAGAAAAGGGAATCATAAAATCCAGCCTTCTCTTCAAGGTTAAACCCCCCACAAATTAATATTCCCTTTGTCTTTTCCATTCATAGGTGTGATCCAAGGGACAGAAGGTTTGACGGAGAAGGGTAAAAATTTAGCCAGCTAATCTAACTCTTGACGTCCCCAATATCAATGCTAACATTGTTTCTGGGCACCTCACCACCCATCATTTATCCTCCCAGGCTCTGCATCTTGGCAAACAGACATCCTTGCCTTCATTTCGTAAGTGAAGCAGGAAAGAGACTGACTTAGTTACAGTCAAGGAATGAGTCTGTTTAGAGTTGTAAGCAATAATAAATCAAAGGCAGGCAATCTAAGGAGAAACACAGACATCCTCATGGGACTACACTTCATCCACAGTAGACTAAGATAACTAATTTCCTCCATTTAAAACCCTCCTGCCAATTCATTATTTCATGTCATTATTTCCTAAATCCATTGCTGTCAATCTTTTTTTTTTTTTTTTAAAGATTCCAATCTTAAAGTAAGATGAAGGTACAAATATATATCAGCCAAAAAACCCCAACCTCTGTCCTCTCTACCTTTTCTGGCATAAAGCCCACTAAACAGATTTTGGATGTTCTATGTTCACGCCCAAATACTTACTGTATTTCCCCGAAAATAAGACCCTGTCTTATTTTTTTTTGAACCCTGAAATAAGCGCTTGGCCTTATTGCCATGTGCTCAAAAGCCTGATTGGGCTTATTATCAGAGGATGTCTTATTTTGGGGGAAAACAGGGTAATTTCCACACAGAAAGTAAAGGGAAGATTTCTCACATTGCCCAAGGTAAGAAAAGCATGTACAAAAAAAGACAAATATAGATCACTAACAATTCAATTGTGCATTTTGGTTGTAAGAACTCTTAGATGACTTAAATAGAGTCCTGCAAAATTGAGTGGCAAAGGGTTCATCAAGTTTCCTTGATAGGTGTGAACCATATGACACTGTGTATGCCAAGGACATGTGTTGCATTCACAGCCTGCCATTAAGATGTCCTCTTAAAATTACTAAATGGACCCACGTACATTTGTCTTCCAGAAAAAAACTGCCCCCCAAACCAAAGTAAAGTTATAGTAAAAACATATTAAACATCCAGTTATGGGTCCAGAAATAGCAACCACAAAAACAACCGAGTCCAGCAAGCGGTGCCATAAAATCAATTATACAAGCCCAACAAATGATGTCCCAGACAGCTTGTCTGGGTATGTAGGCTAGCCCAGTATTTCTCAACCTTGGCATCGTGAAGGTGTGTGGACTTCAACTCCCAGAATTCCCCACTCCAACACATCTTCAAGCTGCCAAGGTTGACAAACCCTGGGCTAGACTGAGGGCCACAGTCAAAATATCCCCCTTCTCAATACCTTTTTCACTTACAGTCAAATGGAGGGGAGAACCTGCAAGAGGATTTCAGGTAAATATATATATATAAATATGTAATGTAAGCCACTCTCTTCTTCTCATGGAAAAAGTGTTGGATTCTAATCCTATTTTATATTCACTTGAATATGTGAAAAGAAAGTCACTTCTTTTCCTTTCCTATAGTTCTTTGCAACACCCTGGGCAAAGGGTGAAATTTTTGCCACGGAAACAGATTGTTGTGGGTGTCAGAGGAGGGCAGGCCACACTGTACACCCAGAAAAATGTGGTGAAGGGATTCCCCCCTCCCCCCACAATAAGAAGGTTGGGCTGGAATTCTTAAGATTTCTGGCATTGTTCAGGCTTTGCAGTCCAATTAACTGTTTGCTCTGTTCAGAGACCAAGAAACCTCAGATCTCCTCCCTAAACAAATGGGCCTCTCTGCTCTCACTCCACCAGGAATCCTGATTTTATATTCTCACTCCACCCCAACTTTCTCAACCTGGGGTTTTAGGGGTGTTTTGTACTGCAATCCTCCCCTAGCTATGCTAACTGGAGCTAATGGGCAAAGGGGCCAGATTGCCTACTTCCACCCCAGATGCCCAATTTCGAAAACCTCAAGCTTCCCAACAAGGGACGAAGGTTCACGTTCACACACACACACACACACACACGGCCACCGCACAACCGCGACCATCCCCTACTACACAACCCCGTCGCCAACCCAGCCGGCCTTTTCCTCCCCGTCTCTTGGCCCGAGTGGGCAGCGCAGCGCGCTCCTCCCCGTCGTCGGCTTCCCAAGCCCGAGCCCCTGCGGGTGGGCAGCCCAAGGTCAGCCAGAAGCCGAAGGCTGCCTCCCCGGCTCGGACCGCTGCTGCACCTGCGGGTCCGAGCAGTCTCTACTTGGCCTCACCGCCGTCCTCCACCGCGAAACCCCAGACTTATCCAGACAGGCCAGGCCGGGCGGAGAAGACGGAACCCCCCCCCCCCCACACACACACACACAAGCCCGTCACAACTACCGGTGTGGGGCGCCTCGCTTCCAAGCCGCCGGATTGACTCGGAGGCGCGGGGTCGGCTTCGCGCTTTTTTTCCCGCCTGGAGTCCTCCTTGCAGAGATGGCTTGGGACTACAAATCCCATCTTCTTCAGGCGGCTCTTTTGCAAAGGCGGCGACGAGGGTCTGCTCTGCCTTCAAGCGCCAGGCTCCCCAAAACGTTTCTCTCAATCGGGAAGACTCTCTCCCCCCACCACACACACACACACACACCTCCTCCGGCGAAGAGCCCCTCTCGGCCCGAGAAAATGACCCGCGCCAACCGAGGGAGGCTCCCAAAGGCGCTCCTCGAGGCTGCCGCTCCTCGTGCTGGCGGGGGAGGAGGGAGGGTTTGTTCTCCTCGCCTCGCCGTCTAAAACTCGTGGGAGCCGCAGCCTGGCTTCGTTCACCTCGGAGGTTTCCCTGCTGCCCGCCGCCGTCTCCGGAACGAGGCGTGAGGAAGCGGAGCGGGGGTGGTAGGGCTACTCACCTGGGGCCGGTGCTTGGCGTTTCAGCAGCGGCGGCGGCGGCGCGAGCCCGGCTGCCGCATTTCCTTGGAGCAGCAGCCCGGGGACTCCCGTTTGCCATCCTCCTCCTCCTCCTCCTCCTTCTCAGCAGCGGCAGCAGCAACACCATCGCCGTCTTGCCGTCGCCGCCTCCTCCTCCTCCTCCTCCTCCCCCTCCCGGCGCCACCTTCCAGTTCGCCGGGCTTGGTTCCCGCTCGGTCCAGACCTTGCAGCCAGCGACGGGCTCGTAGCCGCGCCGCGCGCCACTGCCTGCTTCCACATCTGGAACCTGGTCGCGCGCCTACGGTTTCACAAAAAAAAAAAAAAAGAAAGAAAGCAAAAAGTGTGTGTGTGTGAGAGGGGTGGGGACAGACGCGAAAGACAGACCGGGAACCCGTCTCGCCTTCGCAGGTGGACGGACTCTGGCCGCCCCGTCTGGAATTGACCTCGTGCCTGCTTTTTAAGCTGTGAGGAGGGGGCGAAGCCCTGATTGGATAAGGACTCCAGCTATGCACGTGCTGCCCTGCAACCCTCACCTCTACAACACACACACACACACACACACACACTGGGCCGTTCAAGGAGCAAAAAGGGAGGCGCCCCCCCAGAGGGAAGAAATGCCCAGTGGCTACATCTGGCTCACGGTATTAGAAAGATCTCGAGGGCTTCAGGATTCTGTGTACAGGTAGTCTTCCATTTACAACAGTTCATTTAGTGACTCTTCAAAGGTACAGTGGCACCCATAAGTGACTTTATAACCCTTGCAGCATCCCCATGGCCATGTGATTTACATTCAGATGACTCACATTTATGACCGTTGCAGTGTTCATGGGTTCATGGGGATCCCCTTTTGCAGCCTTCTGGCAAGCAAAGCCAATGGAGAAACCAGATTCACTGAACGACCGGATTACTAATTTAATAACTGCGGTGATTCACTTAACAAAGGTGGCAAGGAAAGTCGTAAAATGGGGCAAAAAACTCACTGAACAAATTTCTCACTTAGCAACATAAATTTGGGGCTCAATGGTGGTCGTAAGTTGAGGACTACCTGTATGAAGCAGAGTTTTCTGCCCCTGTAAAAACTGTGTCCACCACCAAATCTGCGTTGTGGATGGAAAGACCCAATTGTTGTGCAGAGTTTTGAGAAGTTTGGACTATGGAATTGACTCATTTGGATCCAGATCTGCTCAGTGGTGGGATTCAAGTAATTTAACAACCGGTTCTCTGCCCTAATGATTTCTTCCAAAAACCAGTTTGCCAAACTGCTCAGAAAGTTAACAACTGGTTCTCCCGAAGTGGTGCAAACTGGTTGAATCCCACCACTGGATCTGCTCAAGAAGTGAGCTGAGGCTCAGGACCTTTCAGCCTAAACCATTGCTATGTATTTACCATTGCAGGTGATCCGTGATTCCTCCTGCTACTGAAGTTTTGGTAAACCACAAAGTGCAGTTTGCATGGATTGTTGCAGCACAGGCAGCTGTCAAGTTGTCTTGCATGTGTGCATGGCAGTTGGGGGAGGTGTCCGGGCTTCACCCAGCCCCAGTTTTGGTTATCTCACAGTGATAGGGTTTGGACATACAGGCCCCAACACAGTAATGTCATGTTAAGCAATCCCACAGCAAGCAAAGAATCAACAAATTTACAGTGTATTCTTCTGAAGGAAAAAGTGAATTACCACTTGGTATCAAACTGAAGGAGTGAAAAGCACATTTTTGTGGCTGGTGGATGGATAGTTAATGGCCGAAATACTGTTTTGCTCCTCAGTTGGCCAGAAAGGACAGTCTTATCTGATTGGCTATCAGTTCTTTGTTGGCTCGCAAGAGAAAAATGCCTGCTCTTATTCTTTCCAGCTATTCTAAAACATTAGAAGAGCCCACTCCAGTCTTGCTTCATTTGTGAGATCAGAAAACATGGATGGTTTGAAACAGTGGATGATCCGGAAGTGCCCTGTGAATTTTAACTCTCTAGAACAAAATTTATCAACCTCAGCAACTTCAAAATGTGTGTGGCCTTCAAGTTCCCCATGCTGGCTGGGGAATTCTGGGAGTTGAAATCCGCACACCTCAAGTTTGAAAAACACTGAACTGTGTGCAACGTCAGAGGAATGCACTGTTACCAAAAGGAAAGTATTGTGGATCACAGAAATTACTTCCAGGATTGTGAACAGGTTGCACTGACTGGAAGTTGAACTCCACGCATCTTGAGCTTGCCAAAGTTGAGAAACACTGTTCTAGAAGAACTGTGGGACAACCTTGCTGACCTTTAGTCCTGGGTTCTGATTGGAAAATGTTTCCAGGAAAAGTCTGTAATTGGGCAAATGCCTTTACAGAATTTCACAAGAGTACAAATAATTATCCCTTCCTTGCCCACCTCTTCTTCCCTTTCCTCTCTCCTTGTGATCAAATAATTGTTAGGGTTGAGAAGGCAAAACACTTGTCTCTTGATCAGCACAGGATGCCTCACTACAACCACAGCAAAAGACAGGGAAGAAAAGGCCCAGGACAGCTTTTGAGGGTGCCACAACAGAAAAACCATTTCTATCCCCTTTGACCAATTTGTTCCTTGCTGCATCTCCTGAAAAGATTGTGAAACATCTTAGAAAGGACTGTGATCATCCACTCTCAGTCATCCAGGTAATGCTTGTCCCAAAGGTGCTGTTTCAGGAGGCAACTGGACTTCCTTGTTTTTTCTTTTGAAGATGATTTGCTTCTCATCCAAGAAGTTTCTTCAGCTCTGACAGAATAGTGGAGAATGGAAGGATTTTTATATACCTTGCAGACAGCTGGTCATTTGCATCCTTTTAGAGTGTCCTTGAAGCACTTGGAGGTTTATCTGTGTCCTCAGAATCACCTGAGTAGTGCAAATGGTCTGCAATATTGTTTTCTTTTTTTCCCTCTGCAAATCGATTCCTACACCCACACCATTCAAAAAGGGTGTTCATCAGGGGTGAAATCCAGCAGGTTCTGACAGGTTCTGGAGAACCAGTAGCGGAAATTTTGAGCAGTTCGGAGAACCAGCAAACAGCACCTCTGGCTGGCCCCAGGAGTGGGGTGGGAATGGGGATTTTGCAGTATCCTTCCCCTGGAGTGGGGTGGGAATGGAGATTTTGCAATATCCTTCCCCCAAGAGTGCCGAGGGAATGGGGATTTTGCAGTATCCTTCTCCTGGAATGGGGTGGGAATGGAGATTTTGCAATATCCTTCCCCCAAGAGTGGGGAGGGAATGGGGATTTTGCAGTATCCTTCCCCTGGAGTGGGGTGGGAATGGAGATTTTGCAATATCCTTCCCCCAGGAGTGGGGAGGGAATGGGGATTTTGCAATATCCTTCCCCTAGGAGTGGGGAGGGAATGGAGATTTTGCAATATCCTTCCCCTGGAGTGGGGAGGGAATGGGGATTTTGCAGTATTCTTCCCCTGCCATGCCTACCAAGCCCACAAGCCACACCCACAGAACTGGTAGTAAAATATTTGGATTTTACCACTGGTGTTCATCCCAAATTGTCTGTAGAGACAATTTTTGTAGAGTCTGTAAAAGTCTGTAGAGATTCTCAGTCATCCAGGTCATGGTTGTCCCAAAGGTGCTTTTTCAGGAGGCAACTGGACTTCCTTGTTTTTTTCTTGATTCTTGTTTTTTCTTAATTCCCCACTATCCTGTCAGAGCTGAAGAAGCTTCTTGGATGAGAAGCGAAACGTCTTCAAAAAAAAACAAAACAAGTTGCCTCCTGAAAAAGCACCTTTGGCTCATCAGAAAGGAGATGACAGCTGGAAAGACCTAGATTCTAATCCCCCACTCAGCATGACCTCCCTTAGGCGACCCTGGATGAAGAGTGCCCAAGTGAACTCTTAACAATAAACATGCACAGAAAATTATGTGTGCCCCCTGGAAAGGTATGAAATCATTTAATGAATGCAATTTGTAGGCAATGCTGTGTATTTCTGCTTGGTTGATATAATGGGCAGAAATAACACCGCTGCGGTCCTAATAAAAGCCAATCCCCTTAAATGTAATACATGAATTCTGACTGTACTTCTCCAAGTAATGTCCTAGAAAGAATGGAGAATTTTTCTTTCTTAGGAAAATTGCTTCTTAATGGCTTCGTGGAATGTCTGGTTTATGTCTGTATTTCTTTATTAGGGGCTAATGAGTTGGAAAGATGTGCAGCCATGTTGGACCGAAAAGCTTGGGAGGGGAAACCCATCCATCTTTAGAAGGTGATGTATTTTCTTCTTTCCCAACCCTTGCAATAAACCTGGCGTAGAACTGGGCATCTGCAAAGAAAGCAATTGTGGAAACAAATTAAAAAGAGAAAAAAGGGGATGAGAGACAAGGAGAGAGCTTCAGGGATGTGCTGAGGATACATCTGTGGAACTTTGCTGGGTAGCAGATGCACTGTCTAGTAAGAATGAATTTTTTATTTATTTGCATTTCGTATTTCTTAACCGCCCAGCTCCTTCAGAATATCTCTTGAGAGCGAGAGAAGTTAAAAGGCGGAGCCCTTTTTCCAGCTGAAACCTTCTGAACAGAGATCGTTAGTGCTGAGATCTGTGGTGCTTGCTGAGAACTGACAGCCAATCAGAACACACCCTTCCTGACCAATAGCAGAGCAGAGATGTCCCACCCAGGCTGAGCCCAGTATTTGTCCAGAATTGGTAGTCCTTGACTTAACGATCACAATGGAGACTAGAACTTCCATTGGTAAGCAAGGTGGTTGTTAAGGAAGTCACTCCTCATTTTATTACCATTTTTGCCACCGTTGTTAACCACATCACCCCAGTTGTTAAGTGAATCATGAGGCTGTTAAGGGAATCCAGTTTGCCCCATTGATTTGGCTTGTCAGAAGCTGGCAGGAGGGGTAACGGCAATCTGGTAACCCCCCCAATATGCTGTACCTGTCATAAATACATGCCAGTGGCCAAGAGCCTAAATTAGGATCACATGAGTGTGGGGATGTTACAATGGTCATAAGTGTGAGAACCAATCATGTCACTTTTATCAGTGCCATTACAACTTTGAATGGTCACTAATTGAACGGTTGTAAGTTAAAGACTACCTATGCAGGTAGTCCTCAACGTACGACCGTTCATTTAGTGACCCCTCTAACTTACAACAGCACTGAAAAAAAGTGACTTATGGCTGCTTTTCACACTTACGACCATTGCAATATCCCCATGGTCACGTGATTTACATTGGGATGCTTGACAACTGGTTCATATTTATGACGGTCGCAGTGTCCCAGGGTCACGTGATCCCCTTTTGTGACCTTCTGACAAGCAAACTCAATGGGGAAGCTTAACGACCGTGTTCCTAATTGAAGACCTGCAGTGATTCACTTAAAAACAAATGTGGCAAGAAAAGTTGTAAAATGGGACAAAATTCACTTAACAAATGTCTTATTTCTCATAAATGTTGGGCTCAATTGTG